TTTAAAGCATTTATATAATCTCAACTATTATAGTACTAACAATATTCTTTTTATTTGTTTACTCAATTGGAAATCATTTCTAAAAATACGATTGTTCCTTGAGTGTTTTTTTACTAATCTACAAAATATATTTAAATTTATCGTTAATTGATAATAACTAGAGCAATCAATATAAGTGTTATAACAATAAGTGCTATCTATAATCTTAAATAAGATACAACTTCCAATGGATAGTTCCCATTTTTACCATATAATGAATTTGATTTTATTTGTTTATACAGACGTGAAATGTATTACTGATTTTATGTAAATGATTCAAATACAAACGTATTACTCCAAGCGATTAATTAATCGATTAATTCTTTCACAAAGTAACCATAAAATAAGTACTCAACACAAGAGAGTAATAATTTGTTCGAAAGATATCGCTAAGCCTCTAAAGCCTGCTAAAAAATAAATACCATACATTAAACATTAGCAAGGACATTTTTCACAGATTTTTAATAAATTCTCATTCATTACACGAATTAATCGTGCACTTATATATTTATAAATAATTATTACCACATATGATTTTTAAATTAATTATTTTAGATTTGTTTTGATACAGAACCGACTACAGTAAAAAATAACAAATTTATTATTATTCTTATGTTACCATAATAACATTTTATTAATTAGTTGCGATGCTAATAATAAATAAACACGTTGGGTTCAACCGACCAGGTCGAAACGTGTTTTATTTTTTTTTGCGTTTCTTATGACATGTTGGTAAGATACGATGGCAGGCGCTTCGGTTAGGCAAAATGGATACATGGAGCGTTGCAAAATTTATAGCAGTGTTATTCGCCCAAGCGTCATCTGACTGTCTTCGAGCTGTTTTAAAGTTTATTTTTTATTTTCCATTGTGTTTCTAATATTTTCTCTGTGCGAGTAACGTTTTGACAAGAGCACTGGTGATAGGAACTCATTGAACGCCGTATTGAAACATACATATATTCTGTATATTTTATACGAATCCAGTATTGACAACTTGAGTGAAAGCGGTAGACAATTATTTGACAGTCGAATATCAAGTAGGTGATGCGTTTCTTGGTAATACACTAGAGATAGTCGATACAGTTAAAATCGAAAAATACACGTATTTACAATTAATTCATGTCTGCGCATCATTTATTACTCGTACAAATTTGTTAGATTCAAATATCGGTAGCAATTGATTCTATGAATCCGTCCGGTTCGGGTGAATATCTGTAATCGTATTGAATTTGTCACGAGCACCTATTGCGTATAAGTTTACCGCATAAGCAACGGGAAATTAAATTAAATTCCACGTTAACTTTGCGGTATTAATGTGAAATGCACATTACCTGTTCCCACTCGAATGTACGTTCCATGTATAAACCAATTTATACTGTAATAAGTAATGTGATTTCAAAGGCAACGAAATCATTGCTCGGTTACGGACAAAAAAAACGAATCAACATGAAAAAAGTATTATGATAAAGCACATTTATCATAATTACATAAAAATGTTTGTACGGTGGAATTTTACAGTGAAAATATTCAAGGGAGGTAAACAATAAATTTTACAAGCACAGTCAAATATATAGTACTACATTTGTTTAGCTTAAGTTTCTTGACTTAAATAAATAAATTATACTGAAAGTTCGAGGTTATTTTACACTGCTACACGGTAAAACATAAGGATATGCACGAAGCGAGTAAATAAAATTATAGCCGCAATAATAGTTAAAATTAACAACGCGATGCTTTTTTTTTAAGCGTATGGATGTTCAATGACAACCATTGGCTTACAAGATATACCCACGAACATCAGAGAAAAGTATTTTCAAACTCACGTCTACAATACTAAAGTTAATTAAATAAATATTGCGTAAGTTCACTTCAATCCTGAATTCAATTACTAATAAAATTGTGAATTAAATCCTCAAACTTATTTTCAAGAAATGTATAAATTTTAGTTCAATTAAACTTAAGAATTTAAACAAAAGAAGCAAATAATGAGATAGTTTCTAGAACAGTGTTCTAATTCATTTAACTTGCGACGAAAACAATCAATGTTCAATAAATTTGTAACGGAATCCAATTACATTAACTAAATAGCTTTTGATTTTAAATAATAAAAAATGTTAAACTAAAGAGAAAAAATAGAAATTAGAAAATTTAAATATTCTTATATACTAAAATAAAATAGATTTTATTTTGTATCAAAATTAACTTGAAACTTAGAATAGACGTTTAACAATATTGTTTAATTTTAACAATAATAATTTTCATTAAAATTTCTTTATGTCTCATTAAAGCTTAAAATAATTTTCAATAAAATTATTATATTATTAATACAAGGCATTCAATTACTGTGATTCATATCACAGGAAGTTTTCTCAATACTTTTAATAGGATAGCTATTTAAAATTAGTTACAACTATTAAACAATAATTAACTTAATTGGATATTGAAAATATTCTTTTCTATATAATGATAAATTATGGAAAACTTACAATAATTTTACGTGTATTTTTTATTTTTTTTACCCTATTTACTAAATAAATTACTTAATATTTTTGTCTCTCAATCATTCATTTTTAGAACGGATATAAAAACTAGTTTTTACTAGTAAAATAAGTAAATTTTAATGTTTCATCATTAACTATTAAAAAAAAAAACGTCACTAAAAGATTACATTCGAGCGGACCTTTAAACCTTCACAATTATCCACGTAAATCATACCCCTTCCCCACATTTTATCTTCTAAGGTCCCTAAAGTTTTGCATAACTGTTTTAATTATTCTAATTTATCATATCAATTATTGTCTCGTTAACTTTTTATGCTACCAGTAACATTATCGTAAATATCTATCATATTTACTAACATATACTTTTTATTAATTATATGCGAGGTGCAAATTTGAAAACGCCATCAAAACGACCAAGTAAAACTATCTCAGTGGGACTAAAGGTTCTACACAACATCTTAACAATGAAAAATGAATTCTTAGAGACAACAGATTTTTTTTATCTAGATTACTACTAACGTTGTCACTATTCCATATTTGACATTTTCCCTGTAAAGTGTATAATAATATATCAGCTTCATTTTAATATTCTTTGTCGGCGGTCGACACAGTAATTTACAAGGCTACTCTACAGCACGTCAGGACGTGTCAAATATTATATTAGGATGTATCTTTCTACATTGTTAAAGCTTAGACGATGCTCATCGATTAAGCTTTATTGTAAATGTTTAGAGTGTAAATGCGTTTTATTTGAAAATTATAATCATTTAGTTATAAATGTTGACTATAATAATAAATATAATTGATGATAATCAATATGACAACTATAATTATGCCATAGACGTCAGAATGATAAAATAGTGTTTAAATAGAGCAACAATATGAAGAAAATTTTATGAGTACTTTATCATCTAAGAAACATTTTTCACTTTAAACTATAATCCTATAAACTTTTCTTCAATTCTACATTTTTAATAATATCCATTTAACTTTTAAACTGTAAAATCATACACGTTTTATGCAAATATTTATCATTATTATACATTTAAATATATTTTTATTGAATTTCATGCATAGTTTACAACAAAATCTTTAAAAAATTAAATATTATATACTATTGTTAAAAATGAAGTTGTTGTTTTTCACTCAAAATTAATCCAAAATTACATCAAAATCACAACTAACCCAATAAAACTATTATAATTAGTAAAGTAATATACAGAGTGTTTAATATATCATAAACTACTCGATTACTTTCAAAATAAATACATCATTAAAAAAAACGGTGCGTCAACTTTATTTTTTCAAATGGCAACGTACATAGTTAACTAACTTAATTAACATATAATGATGTAATTTTAAAAATGACTGATGTCATTGACAATTTAAAGTGAAGACTGGAGGAGAAGAGGAGTGCTGCTATTGTTATCACTAGGCATTTCCTAGTGACACTATTGCTCCCGTCTAGTTATTAACAAAGAATTATTTTTCTAATTTGTAAACTATTCAAAGAAATCTGGTTATTCTAAATATAGTAATATCTATAAACAACCGTTTGTTTTTTTTCTACAAAACTGTATAAAAATGTTAATAACTTCTCAAGTACTTTTCCAAAAGTTGTTATCGACCAGTTAATTTCTTAGTTAGATCATTTTCTATTTTATAATATAATTTAATATGTATGTTGCCTTTTAAACAAATAATTTGGACTCCACTATAAGTTAAAAAAGATGATTTCAGAAATGAATTATTAGCTGATCAATTAAAAAATTTACGTAACTAAAAAAAGTAAATTTTAATATTGTATTTTTTTTTTTAGAGTAATTGTTTTATAATAAACCTATCGCAAGTAAGTTTTTAATTATTACTATTATGAATTTGGTAATTTTCTGAAAAATCAAAATGCTTCTTGCTGATATTAATAAAACTGATTGATAAAAATAATCTTTTCGATGTTGGAAGATAATCATAATGGAACCACCAATAGAATGCTATACTCGGCGGACCACTGTTATGAACAAAAACTATTTATGAGGAACACCTCTAGAAATCAACCGAAAATTATACATAGTGTGATTTTTTTGTATGCGTTAAATACATACAATGAAATTTTTTGTTTACGACAAGTCAACAAACAATTTTTACACGATCAGACTCGCTTATTGAACATTAAATGGTTGTTATATTTGAATGATTATTACTATCGAGGGCGTGTGAAATGAACTGATTATCATTTAAAAGATCTGAAGGGCATAAGAAGAAAACGATCGAGTAATTGGTTGATGTGAACAGTGACATCTGGATTCTTGATTATGCCGGTGATTCGTTCAATCGTAAAAAAGGGCTAAGGCTGTTGATTTCATTACCCTTTTGGGCTTTGCAGGTGGGTCGAAGAAAGGGTTGAAGTCGGTACAACTACTAGTAATAAATGCGACCAAAAAGAAAAGTGAATTTACTGACCTGTAATAAACAGGTAAACGGTGAACAGGGCCAGGAGTATTCCCATGTCCCATTCAGCGGCCACGGTGACGGCGGTGCGCGCGACACGTCGTCGTGGTCCGTGGTGGATGTGATGGCGGCGGTGTTGGCGGTCGCTAACGGTAGCGGCGGCGATGGTATCAACAGGAGGCCGTTGCGGGACTCCGCTGTTCCAGCCACTGTCGCTGTTGTTGTTTCCGTAATTCCTGTTGACGGCTTGCTGCGTGTTGCTGCTTCAGCGCCAGGCCGCGATTTTCATGCGAATAAGAGAAACTCCGTCGGCACCGTACGAGGTCGTTGGTACGACGACGGAGCCGTATTTCCATTATGCCACTCGGATCCGCTGTGGACGGGGCTGTGATGGCGGCAACGACGACGGCCGCGGCCGTGTCCGTAATTTCGATACACGATTAGCGGTGCGTGCACAAACAGCTGACGAGACACAACCAGTCGTGCCGGTCTCGGGCGGCCACCACCGGCCCGCGGTTTTAATCCACCGAGACGCGTACGCGGGCAACACGCCCTTGACACACACACACGCGCGCGCTGCGCACGATTGGCTAGACAATCTATCGACAGTGGTCGTTCGCAATAGTAAATTAGAAATACTAATGATAGGAGTTCGAGAACGAATTGGTAAAAAAAAAAAAAAAAAAACCGTGCGTCCCGGGGCCGGCCGGTCTCGTGTGCTGCGTTCGGCGGCGGCCAACTATCTGTTTATCGTAAACGGCGTTGTACACACACACGCGCGCTACGTCGGTACACGGCGCGGCATCGCGCTCTATCTACGGCTGCGTTCGTCTCCTTTTCCGCCACCGGCCACTACCAGCCTACGTCTCGTCAAACTTTTCGGTATTGCCAAAACGTTAAGAGTGCGTACGCCAGTGTGCGCGCGCGTGGTCGACCCGGGCGGCGATGTACGTGTGCAGCTGGAGTTGCCTACTGAGGGGGCGGTACGGGTGGATCGAGCGCTCGACGGCGGACGACGAGATCAACTTTTGTGGTACCAGCGACGATGGCGCTGCCGCCGATCTGGCCGCTGCCGTTCTGTTGCTGCTGACATGGAGCGTGCGACGGGATTCGCGTCGGCAACCGTGGCACCTCCAGAACACGCCGGCCAAATCGCGACCCCGTAACGGTACATGCGCTTAGGCGCACCCGGTCAAATGAAAAACGCCAAGGCTTATTCCATTGCTGATGGTAGGACACGGTCTTTTGCATATACGTACAGTTATCTGGCGAAATTGGCCACAGACGACGGGGCTAATGGGTTGACGCATTTTCGCGAATAGTAAACATTTTCAAAAGCTATTCATCATCGGACACCTTTAGCGCTGTGTTAGTGGACGGTTAGGGAGAAGCCAATGAACGTTTTTGCTTTCGCCACTTTCTCTCTCGAGTCCCAAGATTTTTCTAGGGTTTTTTCAATTATTTTGTGAAAACCTAGTCACAAATTACCCGAAAAAATGATTGTTTATGTCGAGAGGCATGACTTTATCAAAAAAACGCCCTACTCCTTTACGTCGCTCACTGCCTTTACAATTTATGTATAATTGATCTACACAAGATGGAATATTATGTGAAACTAAATCGATAAAAATATTTTCAATGTCAAATTGATTTTGACTCAATTTAAAAGCGCGGAAAACATTAAAACTGTTAGGAATGTAAAACTTTTACAAGGAAATACGTACATCAAAGATTTGAAACACCAAATGCAAGCAACTTTATGGGAAATTTTTGAAAATGTTTGTACAAAACTGAATGACATTCAATATTTGGAAAACAAAGCGTTCCTAAAATATTATGCTAGTGATAATAAGTATTATTTGATTTTATATATTATTCCATTGATTAAATAACTCAGTCCAAGAGAAATCTTACATTTGAATATTTCGAAATTTATTCTCACACTCTCATATGTCACGAAACTACACTTTCTGTCAACCTCTGAACATGACTAAATGCTACAAACGTTTTAGTTGTACTTCATTTAACGAAATTTGAATAATTGAAAAATTACTCTGTTTGAATTAACTTCGTCATGCAGTGTGACTGTACAATATACAAACTACATTTAACTTTCGTTTGCTTTGGAGAAACGGCTCAATTTGCATATTTCAAACAATCATCATAGTCAGCTATTATTAAAGGAAATTTTCCTTTTATGTTGATGTTTTTCATAAAGCTGATAAATTCTCTATTGTTTACAATGATATTTTATTGTGAAAAAATACACTCGGAGGCAATTTAAGTAAATTATTTGAAAAATAACAAATCAAATATAAAATAATGAAATTTGCCGTAAACATTTTCTTTCGACGTAAATGCTTTTTATTAAAAATCTTTGTAAATAGTTATTTTATTAAAAAGTCAGGTATTCGATTTACCTTATTTTTATTATTCAAACGCTCTGCGTTTGTCGGCAAAATATATATATGTGCAATAAAAATATAAAAAGATAATAAGCTTAAAATACCCAGCAATGCCGAATTTAAAAAAATATATCTATATAAGAGCATTTACACATTTTCGTGGTTTTTTACGTGTAAATCTTTTATTTATATATATATATATATAAAAAAAAAGTGTGAAATCGTTTGTGAGAAAAGTAAAACATAATATTATTTTGAAGCGTAAAAAATCAAACACAAAAGCTCTTTTGGAAAATTATTAACATATCAAGAATATTTTTTGATACCTAGAAAATCCACTATAATCTTTAATTCACAGTCATTTAACCATTAGGTGACGGCATGAAAATTTAAAGGTTCTATCACACACAGAGTACATTTTCTATAAGATAAACAATTTTTGATTTTCATGTCGTGAATAAGACGTAATGCGTGAGTATATTTTTAGTAAACTGTTTTAACTAGTATTTAAAAAAAAATTAGGGGAAATATGAAGATTTAACACTCTTCCAATTAAACAGCTATACTTAAAAAAATCTTGGCTTTGTACTGAAAAATATATTATTTTTATTTGTAAAATAAGTACTCAGTATCAATTAGTTATTTGAACTTTGTGAATTGACAGCTTAATTTTTGATATTTATTAAATTGAAAATTACTCAACTGAATAGTAATTTAAACTACACGTTAAATGTTCGTATTTATTATGATAAAAAAAAATTGATGTGCTGAATAAGTTATTTTATATGGATTTATATTGTCGGAGTGCATTTTGACGACAACATCGTAGCCCAATTAAGAACTAATGTAAATACTAATCCGCCATTACCGCACGTTGTTTATTTATTACCTTCGAATAGAAAAATTGAAAGCTTCGACGACTGTTTCTTTTTAAAATAAATATCCTCTCTAATGGTGTCGCGTAAAAGCGAGTAGGTAAAATGGATAGTGTGCTTACAAATGCTTAAACAAATCGAAAAACTCTCGAGTTGCACAAACCGAGGGATTTTATATCATACCCATTACATTGTTACCCGGTTGTTATATTTAAACAGCTGTGATGTGCGTATAACGTTTTTATTCACAGCGATTTTTATTAAGTCGAAAAACGTTTACGGCATTGTACGGTTATCGTAGCAGATAAGGTTTATATTATTTTGGACCCGTTCGAATTTGCTAACAGGAACGGTGAAGTCGAAAATATCGTTTGCAGAACACAATATTGGTACGGCGCGATAACAATTATTCAAACCGATGTAAAGCATACCCAATATACTGTTTTTCAAAAGAACGCTATGACATGTTTTTTATTTCTTTTGTACACAAACAATTATATATATTGGCATGTATAGGGCATCGTCAGTAGGCAAACATATTGGAGTAGCCTTATTCGAGTAAAATTGAAAAACTCGAACCGGAAAAAATGTTATTGGATGGAAAGAAAAATAACAATTCACTTTAAAAGTTTTGAACGTTATTAAATACTCCGAGCACGAAGTTTGCTTTGACCGACATCTTGGCCATATAGTTTCGCAGAATGATAAAACAACTAGCAAAACGCATAATATTTCCTTTAACGGCAACTTTTTCAATCGTTTTACTTATGCGGTTCAATATTTAATTCATACAAAATTGATTTTTTCTCCCGCAATAACCATAGTAGATAATGAAAACCTGTTTAGTTAACTCAGTTTTCCTACTGTTGGTCATGCCAATAAACAACACATTATGTCGACTACGATGCAACGATTTTGTCAAGTCGCATTGTTTAGTTAATGTACCAACGAAACGGACAGTAATCATTGTCGTTAAACTTATGGAAGGAGCTGTACCACAGTGATGTTCAGACATAAATTCTTCAGTCGATAACTCATTACAAGTACATTATCGTTATGATAACAATTATACGATTCGTCGGTCGCGTACAACCGTCTGATAGTATAAATTGTACATATTCACCACCCGTAAGATGGTTCGTGATTTAATAACAAACGCTATAATGCGAATACAATATCCTCCGGTAACCTTTGCGTGGTTTAAATCAATACATTCCATTAACGACGATCGCGAATAGGGATGCCCTGAAATGATACGTCTGATATCACAGTGTCTTTGAGCGTATATTTTTAAATGGAAAAAAAGTCATCATAAATCAAACGATTACCGACCAAAATCGTTTAAGCAGACGACGGGCGCAACAAATATTATTACACGAAGCACAAATCCTTGAATACGCTCTCGTGTACGTCCTCGAGTACAACGATATTGTCAATTTACACCGGAGCAGCTATGCAATCGATATCAACTTGAAAATATCTCAACACATTAAATTATTTACTGTAATAGGCAACTGTAAAAATAAGTTTATTTTATGGCCTCGCATTATGATATGTGTGATATTGTTATTTACCGACACAGTTTGCCGCTGACCAATAAATAGATATCATTATTGTAAGATTCCATTTTAAAAGTGCCCTTATTTTCCATAGGACATATTAAGTGCTGTTCGAATTTCAGCCTTATTTGAACTCCATTTTCTTCTCAAACGCTGGCGCTTGTTTTAACCTTCATAATCAGAGTTGCATAAATTTCTTTTTAAACACAATTCGTTCCGTTCGTAAAATAGGAACTTTTTACAGATCCAGTCTCCTGAAAAGAACAACTCGTTCCCCTTTCCGTCCTACTTTGTTATAAATATTGAAAATCCAGTTATTGTAACTATATTAATATAATCATAATAGCTTATATAGCTATATAGTTTTAACACTAATTAGTATTATATAAATAATTTAGAATAGAATACATTTTATTTTGTGCACAGGCACAATTTGAACAGAATCTAACTTTATTTCTCCCCTCCTAAATTTTTTTTTATATAAATTAACATGTAATTTTCATAAAATTTTTTTGGCGAGTGCTACAACAAAATTAAGGTGATTAAACTCTTTCTAAATTCTCCTATGATTCTGTGCTTACAAGAAATTATATTTTTAGTATAATAATTTATTAATAAAGTTTTCAATGATATTAAAATTTTATTTATATCAGAGTAGTGTGAATTATAAGCTATAAAATTTCGATAACGTAATGGATACATATTACAAATTTTTAATTAAGATTGTAAGATTTCAATGCAAAAAATGTGTGAATAGCTAATGTAAAAATATATTTTTACTTATAACCAAAGAAACTAAAAAAAATTTTTAAAACACAAAAATTGTAAAGTTTTAATATAAAAATGAATTTGATCATGTTCCTTGTTCATTAATTTTTAAAGGAAGCAGTCCTAACTTCATTCCTATAAAAAAAATCGTTCTAGGAATCCGTTTCATAAATATTATGATTTATAATATTTTGTATAGTAAAATTATTAGATTAAAAATATAACTTGATAAAAAACTCGTGTAGTTTTTAAATTTAATTTCTACGTTTGAAAACTATATACAAAATTACAAAATTGATAAAATGTTGTCTATAGAAATTCACATTTCATGAATCAACTTTTGAACAAATAAGCATTTAATTCCTTTGATGAATAACGCAATCACTTATTAACTAGTCAATCAAAAATATTATTAAATAATTTCAAGTGTATATACAGCTTT